GACTCTCGCGCTCCTCTCTCTCTCTCTCTCTCTCTCTCTCTCTCTCTCTCTCTCTCTCTCTCTCTCACACACACACACACACTGTGTCAGTCATTTCTCTTGCTCAGTATAGATTAATGATCACAGATCAGATGGCTGGATACACGCTCTGTATGCACAGTTGCACTTACACACATAGATCCGAAAGGTGAAGAGATAGAGGTATTGAGGACGGGGGGAGAAGAAGGGGCGCGACAGATAAGAGTGACACACATACGAAGTAATCCGCGGCCATCAAACTACTCGCAGAGGAAGATATAAAAAGAGGAGATAAAGTAGGAGGAATGAAGACACAGGAGAGGAGGCACGGACAGAAAGAGAGAGAGAGGAAGATTAAAAAAAGGCGGGTGTAGAAGCGGGGGTGTTGAGCTGTAGAGGAAGCACAGAAGATACACACAAAACACACACTCATGCATCCACGCACACCCACTCCCAAACCCGCGCACAAACACACACAAAGTTAATTAAGGAGGGGGTGTAGGGGTTGGCGCAAGGGGCATGAGGTGCAGGAATTCATTAGAGCTCTGCCCCCTCCTTCAGTGGGCAGCCCAGCAGCCACAAGAGTCAATCAATAACATAGATCTGCTGTGGGCCAACAACAAATACACACACACACACAACTATAGGGAGAAAGGAGAGGCAGACAAATGGAAGGAGAGGAAGCGAGGGAGAGAGAGAGGGAGAAAAGAGGGTCACCTCTCTGACCCCCATCTCCCTCCACTCATCTGTTCATTGGACGAGCGAATGACCCCTGACCACTTTTCCCAGCATCCCTTGGACTCGTGCATCTACAGATGGAACATGTCCGCCCTCTTCATACTATACAATAACAATGCTTCAGTCACACTCTGCAGATTAAATGGCCGAGTTATGGAAAAGCTTCATGATTTCCTCACACATAACAGTCAAATTCTGGAAAATGTGTGAAACTAACATCTGTGCTGTACACATTAGGGAAAGAACTCTCTCCGTCCTTCCGACACAATCTGCCGTGCCACAAACAGAATCCTGCGTTTTGAGGATTTATCCGCATTTCTGAGACTAAGCGTGAGATATTAGAAATTAGTATTCGGCTGACCACAAACAGGCTTCCGCACCAAATAATCGGAATATACTACATAATCCTCCTTCACTTATGTAAGCTTTATCGGGCCCAGCGTAGATGGTGTGTTACTTAAACCTCATCCTGTTCCGACAGATAAAATCATTTACCCACACCAGAAAGACCCGCACCTAATCCTATGCACGCAGCTTATGGATTTCATCATACGTGTACCGGTTTCTCCAAGGATTTGTAAACACACATATTGTGCTGTCTTTCAGACGCAATAGGTTTATCTGGAGTTTTAGAGACACTGTGGTTACATCATTCCTTGTGCACATATGCTGAGTGTTAACGTTGTCATGAGACAACCTATGAATTTCAATGCCATTTGATATGCTTTGAACGGCATGGTCAGATGCAAAAAAACAATAGCATTTCCCTCATCTATTTCCCCCTCCTTTCTTCTGCCTTACAGTTGCAGTGGCCTCTCTACAGTGAAGGGAATTTTAATTTCCCCCTTCATAAAAGAGTCCGAATAATTTAGATTTCTGCTTTCTGAAGAGATCCTCCGTTTTTAATTGGTTGCCATGGTAGCCAGGCACCCTTGGCTTCAACATTTATGCTAAATAAAACCCCCTTTTAAAAGGAGAAGAGACAAATATGTGGAAATGGTGCTTCTCTTTGTTCATGTGAGTGTTTGTGTGTATGTGCGTGAGCGATGCTGCAGCTATGTGGAGGCTTGAGTGGGAAAAAAACAAAGGCGGAATAAGACTTGCCTTGGAATAAAGAGATGTGTGTTGAACTATACTTCAAATGTGTTGTGAGGGATACTGCATTTATCGTCCATTGAGAGAGTTACGACTAATGGATAGAAGATACAGTTTATGGTGCTGTGGTTGGAAGGTGCACTGTATATCTGAGTAAGTGTGTGTGTGTGTGTGTGTGTGTGTGTGTGTGTGTGTGTGTGTGTGTTTCACAAGGGGATGTTGTATTATTAGAGAGCACGCTTTGACGCAGTAAATAGAAGGAAAGAGAGGGCCTGAAAAGGGAGGGAAGGGTCAGCTGACCCAGTTTGACCCCTGATCTTCTGTTCTGATTGTGTTCAAGGAGTATGTCTCTGTGTGTTTGTGTGTGTGTGTGTATCTCACCAAGTACCCCCCTTCCTCTCTAAATGAAGAGTTCTGTTTTCCAAAATACTTTTGCCAGATAGATGAATTAATGAAGTAAATTGATACACAGCCGCTACTTACAGTATGGCACACAAACAAATGACCTGGCTGTTAATTGACACTCCTTGACACACACTCACACACAAACACATATATATATATATACTGTACACAACTTCAAATCAACAGAGACAGTATCCAAACACAATGGAGAGATTGGTGGTTAAGCAACGAGTTACTGAGACTTGTCGACCACAAGAGAGCTGTCAGAGAAGAAAGTAGGGCTTGTGTGCATGTTTGAGTATGGCAGTGCAAACAAAAGAGAAGGACTCACTCACTATGTATCTTTGTGTGTGTATATCAGTGTGTGTTTGTGTGTGCATAAGGAAGTATTGCCCCAAGTCAGCCTGGTAATGGCTTTGCCAGCCTGAGGTTCAAAAGGCCAAGGCATTACAAAAGCCGTGTTGTCACAAGACTTTGCTATGCGCTGCATTGTCCGCGCGACATTACAGCGACATGCTTCATAACAAATCGCAAGTGTATTTTTACAAGCAGCTCGGCACACTTGGACATGCGATTAGTGCGTGTTTGTCCTCGAGTGGACAAAGAGGGGAGGGAAGGTGGAACTTGCTTCCTCAGCATGCCAGAGTTTGAGAGGGTAAAAAAGTAATTTCAGCAGAGAAGGGGGAGTGAGGCACTAAAACAGCTCAAGAATTCAGAGGCAATTTAAAAAGCAGTGTGGGAGAGGGGAATGAAAAAAATGCTGGGTTAAAAAGGAGGGAGGATGGAAAGTAAAAGAGGTTGTATTCTCTCTCTCCCTTTCCCTCTGTCTTCTTTCCCTCACTTGCGCTCTCTGTTGTTTTTAGGGACTAGTCGGGCCACAACCTCCAGGAGAGATAGGGAAGGGTGGGTGGTGGTGGTGGTGTGGTGTGTGTGGATAGGGAGGGTAAGCATAAATCAAGCAGAGCCTGAAGGCTTTAGAGGAGGGAGGGGCAGAGGGAAGAGAGTGGTAAAAGACAAGGAAGAGAGAGAGAGAGCGAGATGATGGTGCTGGTGGTGATGGTGGTACTGCTGGGGGCTCGGAGTAAAAGAGAGAGTGTGGGTGGAGGGGAGGAGAGGAGAGAAGAGGAGCAGAGCGATTGCAAGAGTGGTGGGGTGAGAGGTGGATGGTGGGGTGATGGAGTGTGGGTGGGTGGGTGAGTGAAGGGGGAGTAAGGAGAGGTGAGGGGGAGGTTACAGAGGCTGTGGGAGGGAGGGTGGATAGTGATGGTGGGGGTGAGCGAGCCAGCTACATTTGAAGATGCATGTGTCTCTCTATTGCCAGCTGTCCACGTTACTCTGGTGCTTTCAATACCCCAAAAACAGACTAAAACGCATTCAGGACATCAACTGTGTGTATTGTAATAAGTTAGCAATACACAACAAAATGTACATTTGGCGCAGTGGTCTGTGCGTTTGATCATCAGATCAAGAGGGCGCTGGGGAACTCCAGTTCGAAACCCGCTCCCGCCCCACTGCGTCAGGCCGTTGTGTCCTTGGGCAAGACACTTCACCCGAATTTGCTCCTGTGGGTATTGTCCACAGTACACATTACTGTGCATTTGTAAAGCGCTTTGAGAGTCATTGATAAAGCACTATAATAAATATACGGATTATTATTATTATTATCATATATGTGTGTGTAATGTTGGGGATTTGTAAAAGGAAGTGAAGCCCTAGTGCACCTTTCGCTTTTTTCTGTTGTGTTTCCTTATGTTAACAACATTTGAAATACTCAAGGAAGATACCATGGTGTGGACCCCGCAGATTTGGCCCGCAGCTGCTGCCTCGTGGATATTTAGTTTTTTAGGGCTGCTAAGAAGATGGCCACACTCTGTAGCAGGCTAGTCGGGCTAGTCAGTCATTATGGCTCTCCCAGCTTCTCTTGTCTGTATGGGTGGTATAATCCCCCCTGTCCCCCCTGGCACTTCCTTCTCAGGATTGTAAGCAATTTCATTTAATACAATTATTGAAGGGAGCTAAAAGTTTCTCAAGTAAGGGAGCCTGAAAACTGTTGTTAAGCATTAGCTCAGGTGCTAACAGTCATACACAAATTCACACAGTGTATTAAACATGTAAAACCTGTTTCTAAATTGTCTAAAAAACATTTCTGTTTTGTAAAACAGTTTATTTAGAAGAGGTCAATAAACCTTTATGCTTTCTATGATCATTTATTTTGTCAATATCACACAATACATCATCTCAGCAGTTACGTTCACGCTGTTAGCTTTGATGACCCACGATACAATTGCTTTTTTATTCTCTTTCAGTTGTCTGCAACAGAAACATATAAAG